CAGAACGCCCTTCCCTGGAGTTTTCACATTGCTCACTCCCTCATTGCCTTCTGGCTTCTTCTAAAATGTCACCTTATCCAGAAGGCCTTCCCAAACCAGCATACATGAAATAGCTTCCCCACCCCAGCACTCCCCATCCCCCGTCTTCTTCCTTTCCCTCCCCCGTACCAAACACCACCGACACACACATCGTTTATTAGCTACACATATGCATGCATGTATATTTATATTTATTCTTCCCTTTTTCCCTAAGAATGTAAATCACACAAGGACAGGGACTCAGTTTTATTCTCTGTTATCTCCTCAGAGATGAGAACAGAGCCTGGCATGTGCTGGAGGTTCGGGATATAGTTGAAGATATTTGCTTCACTAAAAAGTAACATGTTGCTACATAATATAAAATTTCTAAAAGGAACATTTTGACAATAAAAAAGACCTCCTGGAAAAAGAAATAAAACTCAATAGAGGGTTTGGAAGATACATGTGGATATGGAATCTATACGGAGCAAAGCAAAACACCAGATTGGAAAATAGGAGAGAAAAGAAAATTAGGCAACCTGTCCAAAACACCCAACAGCTGAATAACACATGTATCAAAAGAGAGTCTAAAACAGTTCAAGGACACTTCCTGTAGCTGCAGCAATGTACTTCCTGAATGAAAGGGCCTACTGAGTGCCCACATGAACGGATGGTTCATGTTCTGAAAATGAGAGTTCAGAACACTGTGGACAAAGAAGATCTAAGAAGCCTCCAGAGAATGGAAAAAAAATAACACAAAAATAATTGAGAGCTAGCATAGCGCTGGACTTCTTACCAATACCAGTGCAAACCAGAAGACAATGAATGGAGTCATACTTTGAAAACACTGAACAATTCAAGCTTGTGCTCCTATACCCACACAACTGTCAATTAAGGGTAAAAGTAGAGTAAAGCCATTTTCAGACATGTAAGGGTTCAAAAATACTTACTGCCATGCTTTCTTTCCCAGAAGCTACCACCAAAGGAGGGGTTAACTGAGAATGAGGAAATTATTCTTGGAGGAAAACCTAAGACAGGTGAGAGGAAGCCCAGGGGGAAGGTGAGGGACATCTCCCAGTGACAGCTATGCAGTAGGCCTACTAAGGAAGACCTGGAGGGGGAATTCTTCAAGAAATTAAAATGACAATCCACTTAACGTGCTTGGATACACTGGAGATTTACACAACTAGGGGATGTTTTGAAGGTGAAATATATAGGAAACAAAGCAAACAAATAATATTAACTTTATGGAAAACATAAGGTGTGGGCAAGGAAAAGCAAGCACAGTACACTGCATGGCTCAGCTTTTACACTGATAATGTAGGCAGGAAAAAGGTTATAACTAAAACGAACTGTATCAGGAGGAGAGGGATAAAAGTGAAGATGTGTGGAGTTGGGGCAGGGAATGGTGAAAAGCTAAATCCTTATCCACCATAGGAAGTCAATAAATAAAACTAAAACTAGAATGTGAAGATAAAGAGATAAATGCTACATGAATCAGCTTAAAAAGGTGACAGTGGTTGCCCCGGGATCTGGAGGGCCAGGGACTTCCGTTTTTCACAAAAAGCTTTACAGAGCTATTTGTTTCTCTAACTACTGGCAGATATACTGTTGATAAAAATAAAAATTATACTGAAAGTTCCCACCATACTAAACTAGTAGAAGATGACTAGATAATAGGTCTTCAGTGGGACAATTTAATAATGTCCCTCAAACTATTAACTGTGCATGCCCTTTGACCTATTAACCCCACTTCTATGAACTGACTCTAGGAAAAATTCTACAAGGGGAAAGGGCTGCATGAATTAGGATATCCACTGGCCTCTGTTTATGCTGCTAAAAATTTAGAGACAATCACAATTCCATTCAGTAACAGACCAAGTAAAACATATACTGGAATATAATACAACCATAAAATATGATAAACTTATAATCCATATTTACTAAGATGGGAAGATACCAACATTCTGTTGAGTAGAGGAATAGAATTATACTATGGAATGACTATACAATGATAGTCTTTCCCTATCAAAGCCTCATAGCTTTCTCTCTTTCTTCACTCAGGATTTCAAATGTTTCCTCCTCAGAGAGGCCTGATGAGACCATCTCTTCTAAGACAGCCAACCCTGCATCGACAGCCTTCCCTGGATTCTTTCACCAGACCAGTTAGCGCAGGCAGGCCCTGATGAATGAGACCAGATCTCCTAGGCCTGAATCCCACCACCACCTCTTGCTAGCTGAGTGACAATAGCAAGTCATGTAACGCGTTTAGGCTTTAGTTTCCTCACATGATATACAAAAATAATGAGAACGTATACCCAAAATTTATGTGCCGGTAGGAAAGACCGATTTAATGTATGTTGTGAGCTTGCTTTTGTATGAGTTAAGGTTCCATACACATTAGTGATCAAAATTATCTCTCTTTTGCACTCTTCTGGATTATTTGAATTTTTGGTACGATAAAAATGTACCTTTTGTACAAAATAATCCTTTTGTTTCAAACAATTTATCTCAAAAATACAAAAGAAAAGAAAGGTAAGAAAAAGTACATACAATTTCACCACTTGTTAATTGCAAGCATGTCACCATCTGAGACCATCCGCACCCCTCAGCTGACAACCACAAAACTTTTTTCTATATTTATACAGAAACACATATATGCATGTACACATTTTGTTAATTAAACAATGTTGGGATCGCCGGGCATGGTGGCTCACACCTGTAATCCCAGCACTCTGGGAGGCCGAGGCAGGAGGATTGTTCAAGGTCAGGAGTTCAAGACCAGCCTAAGCAAGTCTGAGACCTATCTCTACTAAAAATAGAAAGAAATTACCAAAGTGGCTCATGCCTGTAATCCTAGCATGGAAGGCCAAGGCGTGCAATCGTTTGAGCTCAGGAGTTTGAGACCACCCTGAGCAAGAGTGAGACCCTGTCCGTACTAAAAAAAAAAAAAAAAATAGGAAGAAATTAGCTGGACAACTAACAATATTTAGAAAAAAATTAGCTGGACATGGTGGCCCATGCCTGTAGTCCCAGCTACTCGGGAGGCTGAAGCAGTAGGATCACTGATCACTTGAGGAGTTTGAGGTTGCTGTGAGCTAGGATGATGCCAGGGTACTCTAGCCCAGGCAACAGAGCCAGACTCCATCTCAAAAAACAAAAAATAAAAAATAACGTAGGGATCATGTTGCTTTTTTTTTTTTTTTTTTTTTTAAATGAGACCAGAGTTTCTCTCTTTTGCCTAGTCTAGAGTACAGTGGTATCATCGCAGCTCACTGCAACCTCAAAACTCCTGTGCTCACACATTCCTCCTGCCTCAGCCTCCCACATAGCTGGAACTACAGATGTCGACCACCATGCTCGGCTAACTTTTCTTATATTTTGTAGAGATGGGGTCTCGCTGTTGCCCAGGTTGCTCTTAAACTCTTGGCCTCAAGCAACCCTTCCACCTCTACCTCCCAAAGTCCAAAGTGCTAGGATTACAGGCGTGAGCCCAGCCTTTTTTCACCTTTCAACATATTGCAGACATAGTTCCATCACCTCATTCTTTTTAACCACTACACAATATTCTCCGCAGCAAGTATCAAGATTTAAGCATTCCCCTAGTAACGGACATTTAAAGTATTCTCAACTTTTTGCTACCACAATGCTACCATGAATGTGAACACATACCCTTACATACTCAACCTTATTAAAAGAAAAGAGAGGCTTATTCACACGGAATAGATTTTTAAAAATTATGTTAGATTAAATATCACATAGGTACAATATATGTATAAAAGTTATATGAAGTATAAAACATAACAATACAATATTCAGTATATCACCCAGTTGAACTATCATTATACTTGAAGCTTCTCACGTGCCCATCCTGATTCCATACAGATAGTATGAGAGTTGCTGTTTATCAATATTTAGGTTTTTTCTATTTGATAAAGGAACTAATCTCATTATTGCTTTACTTTTTTTATTTCGTTAATCTTCACAACACTTAGTATATTCTCATAGGTTTATTGGCTATTTGTTATTAATATTTCTTTTTCTATAAGTTACTTACTCATTTCCTTTGTCCATTCTTCTATTGGGTTAATTTGGATGTTTTGCTTTCTGATTTACAGAAACTCTTTGGATATTAGGGATATTGACCCACTGCTATGTTGCAAATAGTACCATGTCTTTTGCGACACAAAGTTTTACATTTAAAAAAAAATTTTTTTTTAATCAGCTGACTTTAAAATCCATGAAGTTTTAAATTTTCATGTGGACAGCTCTATCAGTTTTCTTTCTGGCCTCTTGAATTACCAAGATCTTTCACATCCCAAGTTTAGATTAACATTTTCGTACATATTCTTTAGAATTTTGGCTTTTTACATTTGGATCTTTAATCAACGTAGACTTTATTTTAGTATATGGTGAGAAATGGGGCTCTAACTTGATTTTCTTTCAAATGCATAGCCAGTTATCCCAGTAGCATTTATTGACTGATTCAACCTTTCTCCACTGATATAAAGACTTTATTATATATTAAATTTTCATACAGAGTCATGCTATATAATGACATTTAGTCAATGGAGGATTACATATAGGACAGTGGTCCCAAAAGATTATAACACTGTATTTTTATTGTACATTTTCTATGTTTAGATACACAAATACTAAGCATTGTATTACCATCGCCTATAGTATTCACTAGAGTAATATGCTGTACAGGTTTGTAGCCTAGGAGCCTATACCACCTAACCTAGGTGTGTAGCAGGCTCTACCATCTAGGTTTGTGTAAGTACACTCTATGATGTTCACGCAATGATGAAATCTCTCAATGATGTATTTCTCAGAACATATCCCCGTCATTAAGTGAGGCATGACTGCATGCAGATATTATGCATGTGTATGTATAAACACAGCTGTTTCAGACTTCCTTTGCTCCGAATGCTATCTAACCTGGGTAACACAATGCAGCTAGGCCAAAAGAAGTCACTCACCTGCCCTTCTTCATCAAAAGCCATGACTACCACAGCAGCTCCAAACTTCTTAATCTTCCTGGCCTTCTCCAAGAAGTCCTCCTCGCCCTCCTTCAGACTGATGCTATTGACAATGCACTTCCCTTGGCAGCACTTTAACCCAGCTTCGATCACAGCAAAATTGGAAGAGTCAATGCACAAGGGCACCTGAGATCAGAAGGGCAAGAAAGTCACAGAGAGGACACAAGTCACAATATACTTCCTTCCAGGAGCACCCAAATATTCCTATTTCTTCTTTAGGGAAACAATAAACAAATAATAGTCGTGTGTCAGAGATAAAATTCTAATGCACTTGTCCTAAAAACCTAAAATACTTGGAATAATTTCAGTCTTACAAGAGAATCTATGGGTGGACCAGGAATTTATAACTCAAAGATCATAGCTATACATAAGAATGGAATTAGTAAGATTAGTTCACTGGCTTCAGTACTAGTTTACTTGTCCAAGTGCCTAAACCCTACGGCAAACACCTTGAATAGGACTCAGACATCCCTGATCTAACTCAGGGGTTAATGCTCAACTCTTTGGAAACAGCCCTCTAACCAAGTTACTCAAATTCTATCTTCCATTTAGAAAATCAAATCAAGTGCCTCCCTGAAAAAACAAAAAGAGTTTCAATGCTAGAAAGGAAAAGTAGATCTAATACTCAACAAACATACATAAAACTAAAGAACAAAATTAAAATGCACAGATGAAAATAGATTTTTTTAAAATTCATACCTCTCTTCCAGGAAAGGTGATAGGAAGGGCTCAAAGGAAGGATGAGGTTGGTATAAAGAAATGAAATGGGGCAGCTGTTCTAGGCCGCATTATTTAATTAAGCCACGTAATAAATAATGGAGTGACTGCTATGCTAGGTCCCATTTAGGGACAATAGTAAGGTAGACAGGTCCCTGGCTTCATAAAGCTTACAAAGATAAATAATTAAGCAAGCAATGGTACAAAGTGCAGTAAACATTAGAGCACAAAAGCAGCTCAGGCTGCCATGAAAGCACATTTCAGGGGCACCAAATCCAGTGTACGAAGCAGGGAGAGAAGGGAAGGAGAATTTAAGGAAAGCTGCCCATGGCAGGAGACATTTCAACTGAGGACTGAAGAGTGAGTAGACAAAAATTTCCTAGGCCACACCCTCAAAAGAGAGCAAAAAAGAACAAGAATGCTACTGGTTTTGCTTTTTCTTAGCATGCTAGTAATCAAAGGTTTGCTAGGAAAAGGGTCAAATGCAATGACAATATCAGGCCAATGTTTTAAAGAACTTGCTGATTGTTTGGTGTTCCTACCCTACTGGTGAAAACGTGCTGGTAACATGTTTTTATGCTCTACCGCAACTGGTCCAAACTTGGCTTCCAATAAATTTTGGTAGTAGGTCAAAAATCAAGAAAGATAAGGGCCAGGCATGGTGGCTCATGCCTGTAATCCTAGCACTCTGGGAGGTCGAGGCGGTAGGATAGCTTGAGGTCAGGAGTTCGAGGCCAGCCTCAGCAAGACCAAGACCCCATCTCTACTAAAAATAGAAGAAAATTAGCTGGACAACTAAAAACAGAAAAAAAAGAAAAATAACTGAGTGTGGTGGCACATGCCTGTAGCCTCAGCTACTTGGGAGACTGAGGCAGGAGGATCACTTGAGCCGAGGAGTCTGAGGTTGCTATATGAGCTAGGCTAACGCCATGGCATTCTAGCCTAGGCAACAGAGTGAGACTCTGTCTCAGAAAAAAAAAAAGATAAGAAAGGAAATTATTGTGGCAATTAGAATGCTAACAAACTCTTTGGTTACATGGGGTTCTTCCCAGTTGACAAGGCACTTTCATCTTTACAATTCCCCAATCAGGCAAAGCAGGTATGCCTCTCCCATGTTAGAGATGAGGAGGGCACGAGGGCCAAGTTCATGGACACAGTGAGTCAGTCCAGCCCTCTACCCACTACTAAGTTGGTGAACAACTGGCTCCACTTGATTCTGACTGACTTTGAACAAGTCGTTTAGTTTCTGTGCACCTTAAATTCTCAAAATATTTACTGCCAGAGGAGTGAAGAGGCTTTTTGGTAAAGAGTTTAAGATACAAATGAAAGATGGGAGAATGTAATTCAGTGCTTACCACAAGACTTCTAACGTAAGCATTTGCTGAAACCTAATGAAAAACCAACAGCCCAAACTGAAAACTGCAACTCTTAAAGCACAAGGAAGTGTGTTTAAAAAAGAACTTAAAAAAAAATCATTCCTTATCACAATGTAATGAAAGAGAAATGAGGTAAGATTTTTAAAGTTTTTAAAATCCATCTAAAAATTTAAAGTTTTTAAAACCCATCTAAAAAGTTTTAAAACCCACCTAAAAATGTACAGACACAAAAATTAACTTTCACGTTTTAAAGAACAAATGTCAAAGTGGCATGATATCTTGATTTAATCTTGTTTAAGCTTTTGTCTTAATCTAGCCAAAAAGGTCCTTCTTCTGGCAATAAAGAAGAATTAACTGAATTCTCTCTTCTATTGTAGAAACAGAACCAATGATTTGGTAGGAACAGGTAGGTATATCCTCCAGAGATGTGAAGAGCGAGTTCTCTCCGAGGAGAATCAGTCAGTTTTCACAGGCCAACCCAAAGGCCTTGGACACAGCCAAACTGAAGTGACCTTTCTCTCAAATCTGCTTTACACCAAAAGGTTACCGTTAATTGAGAGAAAGCCAACAATCAGAAACCACTGCACTTTCAACGTAGGAAAACAGAAAACCAGTTCTTGAGTTGACAGATCAACGGGACAACGGACAAAGTTAAACGAGTGACAGAGTGAGACAAGTAGATTCCCTTGATAAATATATAAACTTTGTATAACCTTGGCAATGTCAGGCTCGGAGGCAATTAAGTTGCAAAATCTGGTCATTGCACTGGGACCATCTAACATGCCATCATCCATGTTGACATCCAGCACCTGGGCTCCCATTTCCACCTGCGCCTTGGCAATACCCAGGGCTTCCTGAGGGAGGAATGCGAGGGGAAGCAGCATTAGGAGACGGTGAGACCTAAGGGCAGGCTAACAAAAGGAATCCCTTGCCCTCCCCAGTTGTCCTTCCAGATTACAGACTACCCAGCCAGGCTCCCTGCCCCTGCGCCCACTGTCCACCCACCACTCATCACAGAACAACCTTTCTGACATGTCTCTTCCATCACATCATTTTGTTGCTTGGAATCCCAAGGCTGTTCTCCCACCACAAAGACTCTAAATTCCTCAGCCTGGCCGTCAAGGCCGAGCTGGCCCCACCTTCTTACCCAAATGAAATTCCCACTCCACCCCCACGGGACCCTTGACCCAGCCAGGTCGGTTTCATCTCTGTGCTACAGATCACTTTGTCCCCACTGTTGGAATGCAATCCCCTTCCCTTCCACATTGTTTACGACCCAAGTCGCATCTCCTCCAAGGAAAGTCCTTAGAGAAACCACCCCAGACTATTTAACTCTTCAGTATTTGCCAAAAATAGGCAGAGTGTTCATTGCACGCTGTGAATAGGAGTTGCATGAAAAGAAACGTGAGTTAAATAAATCTCAGCAGGTTTTTATACTGGAAGGCTTTTAAATCTTTTAATATGGTCTTATACACGGTAGACCTCCCAAAACAGAACACAATATGCAGCATCTCCCACTCATGACCATTTAAGGAATATCTTGTAGGATCAATGTTCCAAAGACCACACTTTAGGAAACTGCTTATTCCACAACGCTCTGTAGCCTCTCAAAACCACCGTCACATAGTTTATTACCTTATCATTTCCTTGTGACTTCATGAGTACTAATTCATTCCTTCAAATAGATTTGAAGTGTTTGGAAATCAAGAAAGGTCTTGCGTGCCTCCTACTCTGAACAACGCCAGGCAAAATATACACATTCAATAATACTTTCTAACTAATTGATAGGGCAGGGACTTTTTGTTTGTCTAAGTCTTCACTGTACACTTCACAGTGTAATAAAACAACAAAGATAAAATCAATAGTAGATGCTGATGTCCTGATTTTTTCTTAGCCCAAGAAAATCAAATTTTTAGCAACATCGTGACATTAATAGAAAAAGCACGAAACTCTAATGGCATACGCCACAAGGAAACATCAATTGCAGTGAGCCAAGGCTGCACAGAGAAAAGGGACTGTGATTAAATTTAGCAAATCAAAAGATGTTTTTCACTATCAGTAATGATTTGAATAGTATAAAGAATGAAAGGAAGTATAAATCACAATCCCTGTAATTGAAGGGTTTACATCTAATTGGGGGCATGTGACATAGTGATAAAAAACTACTAGGCACTACCATAAAATATGTGGGCCAAATGCTAAGATTATCTAAACATCCGGGAAAGGGAAGGGTCTCTCTGGACTGAAATGGAGAAAGCTAAGAGGAATCTTCAGCTGGCCAATGGGAGATGAATTGGAAGAAACGGAGAGGAGATAGATAGTAAGCAACAAGGGTCAAAAAACCTGGAAAACAGAAATATCAATATCTGACCTGTATATTTCAGAAGAGTCACAGAATAACAGCTTAAAGAGAGAGAAGCTCAGAGAGGTAAGTAGTTTGTTTAAAGACGCACAGTTGAGCAAGAAGACAGGATTGAAACTTCTTTCAGGTCTGTGCCCTGTCCATTAAACCACAGAGCCATGAGGGATCACTAACTCATGGAAAGCCAGACTCTCATAGGAGCCACTCCCACCTACCCCACCCTGCTTCCACTGCCTCTCCCACTGTTTCCATGCAGAGACGGCAAGGTGGGTAAGGGCATGCACTTGATAGACTTGGGTTTTATCATTTACTTGCTGTGAAACAACACACAGGTAGATTTAACCTCCCAAGCCTTCATCTCTGCATCTGCAAAATGGGATAGCAACTGTATCGATCTCATGGAGCTGTTAAGATTAAATGAGTAATGACAGAAAGTGCTTAGCACAGAAACTAGCGTATAGAACAGGCATCCTCAAACTACGGCCCGTGGGCCACATGCGGGTGTTTTTGCCCGTCTGTTTTTTTACTTCAAAATAAGATATGTGCAGTCTGGCCCTCCAATGGTCTGAGGGACAGTGAACTGGCTGTCCCCGTTTAAAAAGTTTGAGGACCCCTGGTAGAAATACCTTACTAAATGACAGTTATTAATTCCACTCGTTTGCATCTTCTTAAAATGCTTTCCACTCTCCGTCTCAAATCTATCAAATCTGAGAGCTGAAAGGGACACCATAGAATGAGCATAAGAATCAAAACATCAATAGGACATGGATATCTTGGAGGGTAATAACTATAAAAATATATATATGTGTAAAACAAGAAAAGGTCGGGTGCGGTGGCTCATGCCTGTAATACTAGCACTCTAGGAGGCCAAGACGGAAGGATTCCTCAATGTTAGGAGTTGGAAACCAGCCTGAGCAAGAGTGAGACCCTGTCTCTACTAAAAAAAATAGATAGAAAGAAATTAATTGGCCAACTAAAAATATATAGAAAAAATTAGCTGGGCATGGTGGTGCATGCCTGTAGTCTCAGCTACTCGGGAGGCTGAGGCAGTAGGATCGCTTGAGCCCAGGAGTTTGAGCTGTGAGCTCAAACTGTGAGCTGCTGTGAGCTAGGCTGACGCCATGGCACTCTAGCCGGGGCAACAAGACTAAGACTCTGTCTCAAAAAAAAAGCAAAAAAAAAAAAAGAGGAGAACAAAAATAAGTTAAAAAAAAGAATAGAAACACCAAGAGAAACATGGCCAATTAAGGAACACACTGTATGACTATGAAGATCACTGGGCACTTGTTCAGAAGGGACAAACATGAGCAGAGGCAGAAGCAAGACTCCCAGAAGGTTGAGATGACAGATGAGGATGGAGGGGTACAGTTTGATGCCCCAGTGGAGAGGATGGAAAGATGGCCTAAAGAGTTTGAATTTTATCCTATATGCAGGGGGGAAAAAAGTCACCTTGCAGAACTTCTAAACTACAGAGCACTGTGAGACAGAAGCAGACAGTGGCAGTGGACAGGAGCAAGAATGAAAGGAAGAGGACTGATAGGGAACTAACTGGTCAGGCACCAAGTGACCAGCTGACCAGGCCCTGACAACGTGCCGGGGCTGAGGCACCAAGAAGGAAGACCCACTGCCCAGGAGGCCCGAGGTACACAGAGGGTGATTAATGGATCCCTTCCTTGTGATGAAAACTATACCAGCTCTGATGCTGCTTTCTGGAAGATCTATTTCCTAAGGCTTGTAAAACCTTAAAGTGAAAAAAGTTGAAGGACAAAATTAATTATCATTAAAGCCGAGACCAAATTCCTCCACTTTTAACTGCATATTTGCATAAGAAACAGAAATCCAGATTTCTCGGGTGGGCTCTGTGTGGATTAAATTTTGCTCATCCACAGAGTGAGCTTAAAAACACCATGGCTATAAAGTTCACATAATTTTCCAAGGCAAGGGCCTATTTCTTTCGTTTATTTTCATCTACAGCTAACAGGATCAATAACACCCTCATCAGTCAGCATTTGATGTGCTCATGAGGTCATTGAAATTTTCTTGGCTTTCCCTACAAGGATCTGTGAGATGCCAAAATGAAGTGCACTCTCAAATTTTTTAACTTATCTCATGATTAATAGAAATAGCTAGAACCTGGAACCCATCTCATTCCACTTCATGCCTCAAACGCAGTACTTTTTGACAAATATTGACAATAGCAGCTTTGATTTTTCAAAGCTTCATCCTCCCACCAGCCAGCCTGCTGCAAACACACATCCCCGTCTTCTCACACTTCCTAGCAGCTCTGCTAATAACTCTATCAAAGGCAGAGAGCTGTTTCATTTACATGCTGTCTAGCCAGAGACATGGCAGATGCCTCGGGGGTCTTATCAAGATGCTCACTTCATAGTTTCCTGCCATGATGAGTTTAGCAAACTTCCTTGATCCTGCAACGTTACAGCGCTCTCCAATGTTAACAAAGTTGGTGTACGGTCCAATCTTGAAGGACTCTAGACCTTAAAAGGAGAAGCATTTTGAAAAATTTCTGACAATGCATATGGATGACATGAGACAGACAGACACAAATATATTCAATAAGAAAGAAGTTACTATATCTTAGCGCATCTGAGCGGACAGGAAATCCAACGTGGAAACAGGACCACAGCCTTCCCCTCTAGGGGGATTCAGACACAACAAACGCTATTTATTACAGCTATGCTTACAAGCTGAACTCTCAAAAGAAATATTTCGGTGTTTTATGTTGCAAATATTCCTAAAAGACTAAAAAAAATACTATCTCTGAGAAAGAAGGAAAAATTATCATCATATCCCTATTTAACCAAGAATCTGGGGCCAAAGCCATGGAGGAAGTTAGAATCAAAAAAGGTAGTTCCACCAGCATCCACTCAGATAGCAGCTTGAAGCTGGGGGTGGGGGTACACTTTCCTACTCCCACCAACAACGCCTTCAGAGCTTTAAGTAAAGATCAAGTATCTCTTTGATCCAGAGGACTGGAATCCGTAACTACCGAGGCTGCACTGGGTCATGAAGAAGGACCCAGTTTGACACCCGGGAGGCAGGAGTCACTATGGCAGGTCCACCACTAATGAGCTGGCGCTGGGTAAGCCAGCTGGACTTTTGGTGCCTGTGTCCTTATCTGCCAATGGGTAATAATATATTCTGTGTCGCAGGCCAATTTAGGGGCAAATATCAGATAATACCTGTGGATATATTACACTGAAGTGCTGGGACTACAGGTGTGAGCCACCACACCTGGCCTTCTGAACTGTTTTTGTTCTATATTTAAATACCGTGTTTCCCTGAAAATAAGACTTACCCATAAAATAAACCGTAGCAGGATTTCTAAGCATTTGCGCAATATAAGCCCTATCCCGAAAATAAGCCCTAGTGATGGGCGTGGCTATACAGCGTATCTGCACAGCCCATGCATTTAGTCTCCGATCGGTAAAGAAGATGAGCAGCCCTTCTCATCTGCCCCATCGTGACAGCTACTATCCCAGAGGTGACCAGAAAGGTGGGAGCAGCCCCACCAACAAGGTCGGCTCCCCCTGTCAGGCCCCGGCCATCCTGTGCATGCTGCAAGCTGAGGCTTTGAGGGGAAAGACTCCTCAGTGAACTGAAAAGCAAGCGGGACGCTCCGCGTTAGGTATTGTGTCTCCAGGGGGAAGAAGGAACGCTGTGGCTGTCATTTTACTCAGCACTGTGGGCCTCTCTCACCCCCCACAAACACCAGGGGACAGGGGAAAAGCTTCAGCAACCAGTCTCCTACTAAGCCCAGAAAGAATAACACATCCCTGAAAATAAGCCCTAGGGTGTCTTCTTGAGGAAAAATAAATATAAGACCCTGTTCTTATTTTCCGGGAAACACGGTATTAGGAGAGGCAGTCTCACTGGGTGGTTATAGGCAGGTTCTAGGGACAGAAAGCCTTGGGTTCAAATCACTTACCTGACTGAAAAACCCAGGGCAACTTCCCACACAGTCTCTGAGCTTATAAAGTAGGAATAGCAAAGTATCTGCTTTACAATGTTATTGTGAAAATAATACTGGATAATGTTAATAAGCACAAAATTAGCATCTGCAATCATAGCTGTTGTTGTTAATAAAAGAAAATGGCTTATAAGTCCTTTGCCAAGGCACTGGATAAGGAAAAAACAGATAGGAGAGAGAGGAAAATAATGAATGTAAGCTGGATCATTATAAAACTATTCTAGGCTGTTTGTTCACTGAGACCATCACGTCCCAGTTTCGGCTATGAATTCCCTTCCCACTGGAATGATCCTCCAGGCTTGGCCTTCCATGGCATCCATGATCCTCGCAGGACAGGCAAGCAGGGATGCCAACATTTAAATGCTGAAGAGTTCTCCTATGACCTCCCTAAAAGCATCCCACACAAAGCACTTCTGATCTATTATGAATGTGAAGCATCTGATAGGAAAGCCGCACTTCTCTCCAGTCTGCAATTTATAAAAGAACAATTTTCAAAAGTGTGTTTAGTGTCATTCTTTTAAAATCTGATTGAAGGTGATTGTTAAAGCAATTTAGAGATAGTGCAGGAAATTCAAGTTGAAGAAGAATTCTTTTACATATAAATTCTAAAGGAAGTCATATGTAAATGCCTCTCTTGTTTCAGTTTTGGCAAAGGTTAAATATTTTTATTGTTAGTGCTCGCTTGAAGTAATGCATAGCTTTAAATTCTAAGAATGAAATAAATAAAGCTTCTTGCTACATCTGACAAAAGCCACTTTTTGGGGGGAGGGAGAATAACATAAATCATAAATCCCACCTCTAATCTCATCCTCTGCCTTCTGGAATATAAAAAGAAAAAAAAGGGCTAACCTGAACATAGTCAGTATGTTTATTAACCCAACTTCACACTCACTCATTGGGATTATTCTGTGCAATATGTTCTGACTGAGAAAAGTTACACTGCTTTTGCTGTCACTTGTATTTTATTTCTTTCCATAGAATAACATAAGAGATGATAATATTTCAATTTAGAGAGGTCTTAAATTCAAAGCTATTAGAGAATGTAATTCTCCACGTGTTATCTGCAAGTTCTCTAAAAATCATACTTTTTTTTGCTTAAAGTTACCATCTAAAATTTTATGAAAGTATTGAAACAAATATATAAAATTTAGTTATTTTTCTAACAGTTGGCATAATGACTATTTTACTAATGTTCTTTCTTTGAATGCCAAAACTCATGCTTACAGGATTCTGCTGAGAACTAACATAAAATAAATATTGCAACATTTTCTAAAGAGTTGACACATGGCAAATGTAAGATTACAACAATAATATTTTGGAAGCAAACAAAATTTTCTAGCAAGGTGTTGCTGCCATTACCAAACACTGGGCCTTGGCAGTTTGGAATTTTCAATAACTAGTATCAACCTGACAATTAAAATTGTTAGGTTCTGTCCAAGAGTATGTTTTCAAAACAGTGCACGACAGAGACAGAACTACAGGGCTCTCATTCTAACCAGGGGTGCTAACTGGGCAAATCACCTGCACTTTCATTCACTTTTACCCTGAAGTTGATGTGTTCTCATTCCCACCCTGCCTGGCAGAAAAAGAGAGTTCTTCACTATAATTCATTAAGTGCCAAGAAAAATATGTATTCTTCTTTGACCTAATAAACAAGTTCTTTGGCACAAACATCACTACCACTTAGAATAAACATATTAAATACATTCTACAAATGGCTTCTGAAATCACAAACACCACATCTTCCCGACTTACCAGATAGTAACATATGTCCTTCAAAAACAGTGGCAGGTGGAACTCTAGGCTTACAATCTTTCACAGCTTTGGCAATTTCCCTGAGTTGAAAGAGAAAGCACTAGATTCATTAATTCAGAATAAAATAAATTTAATGAAACTAATTTGAAGCAATGAAATTAAGTCTCTTTAATGTAACTATGCATATAATTATAAACCTGCTTCCAAATGTGCAGCAAGAGTTATGCCTTTTAGTTTTCTCAGTAATGTAGAAAATTAATCTATAAACTTTAATTTTTATGTGCCTGCCCAGTCGGCTGTGCACTGGCTATGTCATTTCTGCTTTCAGGGGCATGAACCTGGAGCTACCTGATTGTTTGCACAAATGCAGACAGCAAACCTCCTCCCCTTCTCCGAATCCACAGATGTCCTTTACTCTATCAAAGCCACACACAGAACATGTCCTTGCTTCTTAATAGTTTAACAGAAAAAAAGCTTCAGCTTTGAGGAGGAGGGGCAGACAGGAGTAGAGGAGCTAGGGGCAGAGGGAATCAGGCCCCGTGCAGATCTGTTTTTACTGCAGCACACACATGCATGGAGTAAGGAGGGTGCAGAGCAGTAAAGCAACATGATTGCTCCCAGACGTTTATTTTCGTCATTCACACTCTCTTCAACTTTATCAGCTTTAATGAATCATGTCTTTGATCAATCAGGAAAATCTGGGTACGCCACTAAATTTATCAGCACCAGGAAGAACTGCTCACTCTACTGCTTCCAAATCAGTAATGTGGATGTCCAAGGCAAAGCAGCAAATTTATATACAGATAGATATAAACATAGATACACATCAAACACACAGAGAAATTTAAGACAACTCCTCTTTTTTTAAAGAGGAAATGACCTTAACAACCAAGAGGTAGTCTGTGATCCAAAGATAAGCTATATTCAACTACTGATAGCTTTCAGATATTATTTAAAAGACGTTAAAAAAAATTATGTTTATTAAGAGTCTAGGCCGGGCGCGGTGGCTCACGCCTGTAATCCTAGCTCTCTGGGAGGCCGAGGCGGGTGGATTGCTCGAGGTCGGGAGTTCGAAACCAGCCTGAGCAAGAGCGAGACCCCGTCTCTACTATAAATAAAAAGAAACTAATTGGCCAACTAATATATATAGAAAAAATTAGCGGGCATGGTGGCTCATGCCTGTAGTCCCAGCTACTTGGGGGCTGAGACAGAAGGATCGCTCTGAGCCAGGAGTTTGAGGTTGCTGTGAGTAGGCTGACGCCATGGCACTCACTCTAGCCTAGCAACAAAGCGAGACTCTTGTCTCAAAAAAAAAAAAAAAGAGTCTATAGCCGGGCATGGTGGTGCATGCCTGTAGTCCCAGCTACTCGGGAGGCTGAGGCAGTAGGACTGCTTGAGCCCAGGAGTTTGAGGTTGCTGTGAGCTAGGCTGATGCCATGGCACTCACTCTAGCCTGGGCAACAAAGTGAGACTGTTTAAAAAAAAAAAAAAAATTTAAAAAAAAAAAAAAAGCCTATCACAGAAGTCACCAAAAGCAGTGAGCTATTAGGTCATTCCGCAGAGTGAACATATCATACGCATGAAAGCAGATGTGGAACAGTGAGATGACTGGCTCAAAATACACTCATCAGTCACTCTAGGAAAAAACAAATACAACCATCCTAACTATATTCTGTTTCACTGAATTCCAGTCTTCCTGTAAGCCACGAAACTGTCAGGAATTAAGCATACATGGCCATGCTCTTGTTTCACTCCCTTCCTTCATACGCTCACTTGAAAACATGAATTAAGCAACAACTGTGTGCCAGGCAAGGTGAAGACACTTTCCTTGATCTCCAGATGCCTGTCGTCTTGCTGTGTTCCCCTTCCACCAGAAAACTGAATGGAAGAATGTATTTCCCCACGAGAAATACAAGTTGCCCCTCTTTGAGCATGCAAATATTATTCAGATATTTAAGAACAGAATATCAGGATATCTGGGATTTGCTTTTACCATATTGGGGGGGGGGAGTTAGGATAGATAAAATAAGAACTGCAAAACACTGAAAATTATGGCAACTATGTGTAACGCATATAGAGATTCATTTTATTATTTCTCTACCTTTACTTTTGGAATTTTTCATAATATAAGGCATTTAAGCTTTCTAGGGCTGCCATAACAAAGTACCACGGACTGGATGGCTAAAAAACAGAAATTTATTTTCCTATAATTTAGAGGCCAGACATCTGAGGTCCAGGAGTCAGCAGGGCTGGTTTCTTCTGAGGCCTCTTTCATGGGTCGTAGGTGGCTGTCTTCTCCCTGTCTCTACATGGTCTTCCCTCTCTGTGTGCATCTGTGTCCTCTTCTTACAAGGACACCAGTCATATTGGAATAGGGTCCACCGTATAACCTCATTTTAGTTTAATTATCTCTTTAAAGGTGCTATCTCTAAATACAGTCACATTCTGAGATACTAGGAGTTAAGACTTCAACACAGAAATTTGGGGAGGACACAATTCAGCCCATAACAAAAGGTAAAATATTAAGAGGTGACTATTACCTGATATGATCTGGTGTCGAACCACAGCATCCACCAACTATATTGACCAAGCCATCCATAGCAAAGTTCTGCATTTAGGAAAGGCCAAAGTTTCCATGAGTTCATCTGAATTCTAAATTCAACACCATCAATTAAGCATAAAAGCCATTTACATTTCCTGAATATCTAAGACTACACTAAAAAGAGAGCTAAACAAACTTAACTCCGGATATAAAGATGTCACATGCCCTAGATATAAGAACAAACACAGAGAACAGTTCAGATACTATGAATTCCTCTATACATTTAAAATGCAATAGGAAATTTATTTGCCTATCTAATATTAAACAATTTTTATCCATTATGCTGAGCTGAATAAATGTGAGATGGATAATACATTTTCAAATAACATTTAAAATGACTGGGAGGCCAAGGCAGGAGGATTGCTCGAGGTCAGGAGTTCGAGATCAGCCTGAGCAAGAGTGAAACCCCATCTCTAAGTAAAAATAGAAAGAAATTAGCTAGACAACTAAAAAATATATATAGAGAAAAAATTAGCCAGGCGTGGTGGCATGCATGCCTGTAGTCCCAGCTACTCGGGAGGCTGAGGCAGAAGGCTTGTTTAAGCCCAGGACTCTGAGGTTGCTGTGAGCTAGGCTGATGCCACGGCACTGTAGCCCAGGCAACAGAGTGAGAAAAAATCAAAAAAAAAAAAAAAAAGTGAGTATCAGCTTTTACATTTAAATTAATTTAAAATTTTCTAAACAAAAATTAAGCTCCTCTGTCACAATGGTCATGTTTCAAGTACTCCAGTTACAACATGTGGCAGTGGCTACATATAGGAGTTTAACCATAGGCTAGTAAGGGAAGGACACGGTAACTGAGAGACAAAGTCAAGTATCTAAGAAGTCAGAATATTGGAAAGATCCTCTACATAAGATATTGAAATCATAAGAAGTCAAAAACAGTTGAAAAGAGACTATCTGTGAGACAGGAGCTAACAATTTAAGGAAGGGGGGGGGAGGAGACCCAGGTGCCAGCAATTGAGTGCAATAAGGAGCAGTGGTGGCTAGTATGGTCTCATGACCTAGGATGAAAAGATGTCAGGTACACGGGAAAGCGGGAGAGTGACGGAAATGACAATGGTGGGCCAGACAGACACTCTCCACCCAGCAGTTTGAGGAATATATGGGGAAGAAGCCACCACTTGGGAGGGGTGCAGAGGAAGTCTCAGAGGTGAGCCAAGTCTCCATTAGTTTGAGGTAGACTCGATGGGAATTTTCCAGTAGCCACCAGTGCCGGCTGAGGATAAGGATCAGAGCTGGCCCTTCCCAGGTCTCTACCACCTTAATTCAGAACAACTAATCTTTTCTTTGTTACACAGACAATGGGATTTCTTTGGAGAAAAATTCTGTTTCTAAATATTTTAAATCTAAATTTCTATCTATCTCGTAAAAACCCAAGTGAAAGAGGATCCCTGACCTTCAGGTGTTTGGCCATCATAGAAGGCGTTTCATCATAGTCACCAAAGGTGTTGGGAAGACCTGAGAAAGGATATTTCAGCCATTATTGGAAAGCACCTTAACAAATATACATCATATTTTTGAAGGCTTTAGGTTAATATTAACAGTTATAAAATTTTATATTTACATTAAATGGTGATTACCTGCAAACACAAATAACAATACATAATATTAACATAGTAAGCACAGAAATACCACACTTAAAAAAGAATCACAGAGGAAATAAACTTAATTTTTTTTCCCATTTGAAGGAAAAGATGCACTGCTATGTCCTTACCAAATGGAAATTCTTAGTACCTAGCTGCTTGGGGATGGGGGGTGTAAGAAATACTACCTTTGAACTAAGCAATTAACATGCAGTCAAAAACAAACAAAAATCAACCAGTCTTCTTTCAAATACATTTTCCCAAGTAAGACTTTAGCCTGGCTGGGCCGATGGTAGTGGGTTATCAGAACTTACTAACATTAGGGTCACTAAAGTTGGTATTCAATCCCCCACTGCTAAATTTGACTGGCTTTAAAAAAAAAACAAAAAAAACAAAAAAAACAAAGAATTCAACAAGCCATGATTTTTAAAAACAATAAAAAAAAAAAAAAAGAAGACTTTAGACTCTATCCAGTTCCCTGTTTTATTTATTATCCCCTTCTAGTTACTTATTCCTGGTGGGAAATAAAAATTTATTGTGCATTAAAATGTATATATTTGGAGAAAGCAGGATGGAAAATGATTTTAGCTAAGTAGCTAAGCAGTGCTCAAAAACATTCACAGGGAAATCTGGTTAACCCAAAACAAATTACCAATATTTAATTGGATGGTTTGAGAATTGTCCACAAATATCTTCAGAACATTTACATACCGTAAACTACAAGTCCTAGCTTTTAGAAAAGGAAAACGGTAACAATATATAAGATTCTTCTTTCACTCTTCTGCTACCAGAGTGGAACCAGAAAAGGACCCCCTCCCCTCTCCCTCGCACTCATCTCTCTGGCCACATCCATACGGCAGGACTGTCACCAAAAGCAAGGCTCTAGTCCTTATATGACTAGGCTCATTCCTGCAAGTTATGTCCTATTCAAAGGCTTTATGCTAAACCAAACTATTCTTTCAGCTCTAAAAAGAAACACTGGTCTAAACTCAAATACTTCTCATTTGGAAAATTCCTTTTGAGTGCCAACTATATACCAATATCTGCAAAACAAATTCTTTTAATGAAGATCTGTTACCCCATCTACCCATATCTTGTGTATTTGTATCTCCCCATGTGTGATGCCCCTGAAACACACACCTGCATTGGGATAGCAGAGGACATAGGCTGTTGTACATTTTCCAATGGTTTCAATAAAGGGTCTCATTTCAGCTGCACCCAGAGCACAATTTAATCCAATGCTGGAAAAACACAGAGAAGATATTAGAAGTATCATCTCTCATTCAAAATATCTATGCATATAAAGTTATGATAAAGAGAAGAAAATATCTAAAGCCAAGTGGACATTTCCTAATTCAAAGCATCTTTCTTCAACTATAGTCAAAGCCATCTCACAGAGGTCTCCTGTAGCACTGAGTATTATTTTTGCCCATTTCCAACTTCATATAATCTTAGCTTAAGAACCCTGTCTATGGATGTCACTTCTTAAATAAGTTCACAGATTGGCTAGTGGTTTATTGTAGGATAGAAATGCCAGAAAACTAGCACTGCAAAAAAAGATCTGATCTGAGAGCAATACTTAAGGAACAGGAAAAGGAAAATCTTAGAAGTAGAAGGAACATGAAATGGCAGAAAGAAGCCACCCTGGAAGTCCAGAAGACCAGGACTTGGTTCCTACTCCGTAAGTAGAATCCCTGCTATAAGATAGGGCCCCTAAGGTCTTCCAGAATTTAGGAAACAACTATGAAACTATTGGACTGTATAATCGCTTATTTTACTTTTTTTTCTTTTACTATGATTCCTAAATGCAATCTAGTATCCTAGATTGGATCCTGGAATAGAAAAAGGACATTAATGGAAAACTGTTGAAATCTGAATAAAGTCTGGAGTTTAATTAACACAGGTTGAGTGTTCCTAATCTGAAAACTCATCTGTTGAGTTCTCCTCATCTGTTGAATGAGGATAATAATACCCAATCAGTTCTCAGGGTTATGGTAAAGTTCAACCTAAATATGATATATGAAAATGTTTTATAAACTATATGTTACTGAAAGCTCAGCCACTTGTCCATGAGGCCAAATCAGAAGAACAAGGACATGTGGTTGGGGGAAGAGGAAAGAGACATTTTATTATTTTGCCAGCAAAGGAGAAGCATAAAGACTCATGTTTGAAATGTCATCGTCCTAATAAGCAGAAACACAGAGCCTTTAAAGAATGGGCTCTCAGCTTCAGGCAATTACTGTTCAACTACAGTTGATGATTCTGATCGTCCCATCTCTGCTGAAGACAATCGTGTGACTTCCACCTAGGACCTCCCTTTACCAGGTCTGGGCTGGGCCATCTCCTTTAGCACAAATAACAAAAGACTGATCCTGCCCCTCCCAACCACTGGTTAGAGGCAGGGATGGAGGTTTTAGTTCTCAAAAAGGAGTGGAGGATGTTTTAAAGAGATGGAAAATATATTTGCTGTTTTTTTCAGGCCATTCCCTCTTGTTACATGTTCCTCACTCTCAATATTTCCCTTCCCTATCTATGGGGGGAGGGGGTGACTACTCTGTCACACTCCCACCTCAGCCTCTTAAGCAGCTGGGACTACAGGTGTGCACCAACTGTGCCTGGATGCCATGATAATTGTAAAGATAAAAATATAAGCTTTAGAATTCCCACATTATTCCAAGCTAGTGTGTTTCTGGGTGCCCCATAAACAGGGAAGGTAATTGCCCTAAAAATGTAAGCGGCTGATAATAGCTTTCAAGCGTTACCCAGCCAAGCATAGTCTTAACTACAAGAGGGATACCCACAGACAAATAGGCAGCCATCTGGCTGACCCAGGAGGTGTGAGAGCTGCCCCAGGAGGTGTGAGAACTCTTCCCGTCCCTCAACTGACCCTTTTAGGCAGTGGTCTTCCGAATCCCTTAGGGAAAGGTCTGAAAGTACTTAAAGGAAGTGGTACAGTGGCAATATGTGGAAGCAGTCCCCTCCCAGGTCACAATCCGTGGCTATCAGACAAGATCCCCACAAAGGAAGGGAGTCAAGGAAAGACAGGTCACTCACCAGAGAGGGTCTGCATGGGACACGCTGACAACAAATGCCTCTCCTGTCTGTCCCGAGAGAGTCCGCCCACTTTTATCAACAATCGTTCCTGAAATCTGAATTAATAAAGCAAATGAAGTCAACAACACAGACTTAAGAATATAACCACAAAAACAAAATAAAACAAACCAGCCAACTTTCTTTGTTCTTTCACGGGGAAGACAAGGGTGGAGCTCAAACTCCAAGGCAGCACCTTGGTGACGGTCGGAACAGACACGTGCCAAGCGACTGGCAGAGGAGGTGATAAGAAACAGGAAGGGGAAGTCACAGAGGCAAAAGCAGTGACCAAAACAGCTTTAGAGCTCACAGGTCAAGATCCATTAGGGGCGGCTTTCCCAGAGTTACCTCAGGTTATCCTGACTACCTGCTGGTAAACATCTGACTTAGCTAACACCCTGGTTTGGATTCTACTCTACTCTCACCAGGCAATCTTCAGGACTCTCACATAGGTCTGCCTGTTGGGTCAATAAATTGGCAGCCTGGTGTCTTCAGCGACAGCTACATGGCAGCCAGCAGGCAAGGGCATCCCTTCCTGGGCCCTAATAAGACTGATGGTCTTTAAACCTTTGGCTTCAGAGGACCAATACAGCTGGGCTTCTTTTGAACAGCCTGCCTTCTACCAGCCACTTCTCGATTCATGTTCCTGGCCTCTCCTGAGATAGGACAGTTACTGATCTAGAAGTGGTGGCAGGGAGGTGAACAGAAGAAGTTTAAGTAGGTGGTTCCTAAAAGATACCATCAGTAGATCTACTCTACAAGGAAAGAAAAAAAACATAATAAAAGAATTTATCATGCAAACATTTCAGAACTTACAAAGACAGGCCGGGGAGCGTACTTTTCTTCAAAAAGTTTCTGGAGTGCAAACACGGCTGCCTGTCAGGGGAAAACAGGAAGATCTTTATTTCCAAAAGACTGTGTCTGCGGTCAGTCTAACTGCCCGATCAGAATGCTCCCTTATTCAAGACCTCTTCAGATAAGATATACATAGAGCTCTCTGGGGAGAAGAAAACTGTCTTCCCTATAATGCACGGCCCCAGAAGCTCTTTCTCAAGTATGATACTATACATATTAAAATGAAACAAACTCTGACAAAGTTCACTTATAAACAAATATTTCCTCTGTGGAGGAGCTCTTCTTTCTTCCTTCCCTCTCTCAATAAAAATCAACAAATAAGTACATTATATTAGAAAGCTCCCGCCTTCCACATCTTTTCATATACACGGCAGGTAAATGAACCAACAGTGAGTTTAGGGAAGATTGTAAAAGTACAAATCCCATGTTACTCTGTGCTGCTCAATCCACGTTTTAAGTTCTAAGGACCAGATCTCTCTTTTTATCATTATGTTTTTTGATTCTAAGATGTGAATGTTTTCACAATTTTTTGAAATCAGAATGCAACCTGTAATTACTGTGTACCTTCTCTATGATGGTAGGGTTTTTTTAATGGAAAGTTATTAAGTGAAAAATATCAGAATTTCCTTTCTAGAACTAGACAAATTCATCCTAAAAATCCTATGGAAAACAAACATCTAAGAATAGCCAGGAAAGTTCTGGAAAAAGGGGAGGGCGTATTGAAAAACAACTAGGCCTACTGGTTACTGAGACATATTCTAATGTTATAGTAAATAGTCAGTATCACATCAGCAGATAGATTACTAGAAGAGAATAGACCCAAATGCACTCTGGAATTTAGGATGGTAAGGGTGACATTCCACATCATCCCTGTCACTGGGAAATAATAGGATGTTTAATAGATGGTGTTAGAAAAACCAAATAACCTTAGAGGAAAAAAGTTAGATCTTTATTCTATTTCTCACTCTAAAAAAATTCCAGATGCATCATGAGGGAAAGCAGTTCCTGTATGTATTCAGAAGAATGTATGCTTCACATTCTAAAACTTAAAAACTCTAAATATATCCTTAATGGTTTATCCTATTGTTAGACCCTCCCCATTGCTAATCTAAACAATACTATGACTCTTTTCAAATATGTTATGAATCTCATTTCAGATATATTCTTTATCTTGTTTGTTACTGTTCTTATTGTCAAAATGTATACCTGTATTGCTTTTAAATTATAATTTATTGGCTGGGCGTGGTGGCTCATGCCTGTAATCTAGCACTCAGGGAGGCTGAGACAGGAGGATCACATGAGTTCAGGAGTTCGAGACCAGCCTGAGCAATAGTGAGACTCCATCTCTACTAAAAATAGATAAATAAGCCGGGCATCATGGCACGTGCCTGTAGTCCCAGCTACTCGGAAGGCTGAGGCAGGAGGATCGCTTGAGCCCAGGAGCTTGAGGTTGCAGTGAGCTGTGATGACAGCACTGCACTATTCTAACCTGGGCAACAGAGTGAGAGAGTCTGTCTCAAAAAAAAAAAAAAAAAAAAATACAATTTATTTACCAGAGATTCACAAAACAATTTCTAAAGAGATGTATAAAAGAGAACCCAATAAAAGTGATGTACTAAGTATGAAGTAGGGTAGTCATCTAGCTTTGGGCTGATAGTGGCTCCCTGTATGCGAGTATTTTAGCAAATGATAAAAAAGGTTCAAAATTTGGAATGTGTAGCCTTATATTCACAACAATTGAATAACTAAAGATTTGAAAAACTGTAAAGTACTAGTGGAGAAGGACCTTTTTTCCTCCTTATCTTGCACTGAGGAGTACCCCTGTAATCCCCCTCACCCCTAGTAAAACAGAATCTATAAATTCAACCATGCAAAATTAAAATTCTCCCATAAATATAGTCAAAAGTCAAACAACAAACTGGAAGGCAGTATTTGCTGCTCATTACTGACAAGGGCATGATTTCCTTAGTAAAAGACTCAATAAAAAAGACCAAAATCAAGGGCACAGAGTGTAATAAAATCAGCACTATGTACACTGCTTGCTGAGGGGTATAAATGAGAACAATCTCAAAGAAGGGTACTAAAGATAAAAATTAACAAATCACATACCCTTTGACTCTGCAATTTCACTTGTAGAAACGCATCCTACACGTACACTGTGCAAAGTCACATGTTTAAAGATATTTGCTTTCACCCATATACTTATCTACCTTTGTATATATGCAAGGAACACAAACACACACAAACATATATGCTCATATCTGTTTACAATCTGTCAGGACTCCCAAACTCACAGTAGTAGTTGTCTGTGGGAAAGGAGCTAGACATACCAAGGAACTAGGAGACGGAAAAATATTTACTTTTCATTCCATATATTTTGTTTGTTTTTGAGACAGCGTCTCATTCTATTCCCTGGGGTAGCTTGCAGTCATCATAGCTCACTGTAACTTCAAACCTGGGCTCAAGCAATCCTTCTGCCTCAGCCTCCTGAGTAAGCTGAGACTACAGGTGAGTGCCACCATGTCCAGATAATTTTTCTATTTTTTGTAGAGACAGGGTCTTGCTCTTGTTCAGGTTGGTCTCGAACTCTGACCTCCAAAAGTAATCCTCCTGCCTTGACCTTCCAAAGTGCTAGAATATAAGCATGAGCCATAGCACCCAGCCCACAAGTATCTTTTTGAGTTTAGAACCCAAGCAGCCATGTATTTATTACCTACACCATAAATGACTTATGGAATAGCCTATATATGAAAATATTTATTTTTGTATTAGAAAGAACAATTGTTTTAAAAGCTAAAAGGATCAGTGTTTTGAAGTTTTCCTTACTGTCGGCCTGATAATATCTAAACAATAGAGCAATACAGAAATTTATTGTACTTTGTAACTGGTTACTAGTTTTGTCTTACATTAATCATGAAGGATCATCCACACCCAGCCCCCCAGTCTGCTCCTTTTTTCTCCCTTAATCACCCTTGGGCATGGCCAGTATCAAAAAAATCGTGTTTCAATCAGTGATATCAACCCCACCGTCCAGTAAGTCTTTGGCTTGCTCTTCATACGCTTCACAAGTTCATCAAATGACCATGCAAAAGATAATCAACACCAGCACA